CATGCATACATGCATACATGTACATACATGCATACATGCATGCATGTATGCATGCATGCATGCATGCATACACACCTACTCACCCAACTGCCTGCTATTGCCTGCTTACCTTCCCAGCTGCCTACCTACGTACGTACATGCGTACATGCGCACATGCATAAATGTATACATGCGTAGATGCATATAGATGCATCGATGTCTACATTTTAGAGACAGTGACGCACAGATGCACAGATGCATGCATATGCTGACAGCAGCTGGCGATCAGGGCTTCTGACGACTGCTCCTGGACATCGGACACGATGAGCCGCACGAAGCGCGGGAGGACCTCGCAGATTCTCCACTGGCAGTTTTCTGGTGCTGAGGCTCCGAGACTGAATGGACTATCACATTGGGAACAGAAAGGTACAGCTGTGCGAGCCCTGGACTCCAATCAGCAGTGCCTTCTCTTCGAAGTCCCTCCGCAGTAGTTCTGACCGCCAGCTGTCCATCTCCACCTGGCATGGGCCATGCTGGCCCGTTTCAGGTCTGCATCTACTCTGTGCATTTCAAGACGTAAGACGTAACGTATATGATACGTCGCATGAAACATGTATATAGAAGCTGTCATATGTCAAGTCAAACACAACATCTAACATCTAACATCTATCGTCGGCGGTCTATTGCTTAACATGCAATGTATTATAGAAACGTACCTAATACAATATAGTGTAGGGTAGTATAGTTTGATGTAAATGACATGTACCAGTAAAACAAGAACAACAAAACATTTGCATTTGTGTATGTATACATATATATATATGCATACAATACGAGCATGATATATCCATATGTGTATATATGTATACATATATACACAGAAAGCGACACACTGTTTACATATTTCTGTATATATAGACATATACACTTGATGTCATATAACAAAAACATGATACAATAGCATAACAACTTGTAACAAAACAAGACATTACAAACACAATAGAAACATCATATAATTGAAAAAGTAACCTTTAGGATCTTATAAGATCATCTAGTATTCTGTGGTGTAGTATCAGGTGGTATGATATGAAAAGCTACTCTGTACGTGTGTATGTATTTATGTATGCATGCGTGCATGTATGTATGCTTGTATTGTGAGGATGTATGTATACATACTTTAACACATATTCTAAGGTATTTGTATGTATATATATATATATACAGATATATGTGTGTGTTTTTGCGATATCTATTTCTGTCTCTGTGTATGTATGTATATATATATATATTCTCTAGAGCCTATAACATGCACATGTATGTAATGTGTTGGATACAACATATTATCATGTTTTGAATACAACATATAGTATATTGTACTTGTTAATGACAGTAATCGTAGCAATAACCAATCATATATATATATATATATATCATTTATGTACTCATTTATTTGTATTGAGCTTTTGAAACCTGTATAATGTAGCATATGATATACTATACCTACACTTTCGAGTGCAGTGCAATATGTAATCTAGACTGTACCATAATTGACATGTCAACCCGTGACTCTGGCAAGCCGAGGTCACCTTCACTCCGTTGACCGTGCATTCGGCACGGGGACAAAGGATGGTGACCTTTGTGTTTGCAGATCAAAGCTTAGGGTTTGTTGTTGTTACACTTCTGGGCTTAGGGTTTAGGGCTTGGGGCTAGGCCTTTTCTTTCCGGCGAAACAAACTCAAAACCCTCGATCAACAGCTGCAGGACAATAAGAGCTTGCAGCAGATGTAGTCTACTGCCTGCGAGTATGATATGAGAAGTCAGCTTTTTCCTTTTGCCTGAACATCAAGGACTGCACACGCCCATCGCATCACACTTCAGCACATCGAACGGGTCGCAAAACAAGAAGCGCATCGAATCCGAGATTCGATTCCGAACCTTGAATCCGAGACCTCCGGCCGCGGTCACTGGGAATCGCGCATTTAGCTTGCCCAAGGCCTTGGCCGTGGCCATGTCGCGCCACGCCTGCAGATCTTGGAGGTGGAATGAGTTTCGCAACCTACCTCCAGACCGCAAACAAACTAAAAATTAACAAAGCAGTCACAGCCAACCTCTGGTTGCCCACCTTCCTAGCTACCAACAGCACCACAAAGCCGCCTCTTAGGATTTTTAGCTTTTTGGCTTCCAGATCGCCTGGAGCTGGCCGGCCTCTGCCACCGATGCAGCCTTTCTGTTCTTATGCTCGTCTGGTTGTGTTACGGTCGGCTTTGAGGGGGCTCTCGTGTGTTCGCTTGGGTTTTGGACAGGAGTTGGCATCCTGGTGGGAGGTCGGTAGTAGTGGAGGGATTCCCTGGGTTTCGCCGGTCCGAGACCGCAAGGGAAGGCGGGAGGACGCGGCTAGAAAGTGGCTGCAGGGGTGGGGAAACAACTCGGACAGTCCTCCAGCTGCTTGACCCGAGCAAGCGCGTCTTGCGCTGTGGAATCCTGCGAACTTGGCATTCCAGGGGCTAGCTAGTTAAGTCGCACAGCGAAGGGTCCAGGGCATAGGGCTCCGCCTTTTGATCTTCTCTACCAATTTGCCTAGACATCTCGGCAATTTTCCGACCTGTCGCGGCCGTTAGAAGCAAGACAAACCTATCCTGTGCTTGTTCAAGTTCAACCATCTGCTGCCGTTGTCTTTAGCTATCGGGTGGCCAACAAGGTGATCCACACAGCCCGAATATCTGGCTCGACCAAAAATTTATGTGGGCAGCTGTGTCAATAATCTCACTTGCCATGACTTGCCCAGCTCAGTCTCAGAGACACCAGTTTATATTAGTTAATCGCCCGCGCCTTGGGGTTCATCTTTTTATCAAGCAACATCTGGACTCTCAAAAGTTCGATGTGCAAGCACTCTGGTACTAGGCCCTGCCTCGGCTTGAACCGCCTGATGGCCCACTTTGGGGCGTTCCACCTGGCCGTGCTCTACAGGATCCAGTTTTGGACAACAGTAGACATACAGTTTTATATATATATATATACATGTGTATGTATATATATATATATATAACAGTTCATTCGGCCAAACAAAGCCAGATGCAGCGAAACAACTGCTCCGGGTAAACTGGCAAGAGCAATCATCACGAGCAAAGCCTCACAAATACTCAAACAGCAGCTCATGATCGCGCTGTTACTGATACTGCTACTCGTAGTCTGCTGCAACTGCTGCTGGCCCCTTCTCCTCATCCTCATCCTCCTCCCACTCCCAGGCACAGGCAGTGCTACTGCCACTGCCCCCACGGCCACTGCCGTCAAACTACTACTAACTGCTAACTGCACACTACAACCTACAGATGACAAACTGCTACTAGCTGCTAACTGCTAACTACAAGCTACAAACTACTACCTGATTCCTCCTCCTACTACTACTACAACTACTACTACTACTACCACCACCACGACTACTACTACTACGACGACGACGACGACCACCACCACCACCACCACCACCACCAACACTACCACCACCACCACTAACACTACCACTACCACTACCACTACCACTACCACTACCACTACCACTACCACTACCACTACCACTACCACTACCACTACCACTACCACTACCACTGCTGCTACTGCTACTGCTACCGCTACTGCTA